GTGACAGAGAGAGGGCAGGGTCACAAACGGCCTGGAGAAGCTGGGCACTGCTCCTGCTGGGCACAGCTCCCGGCTGTGCTGGCAGCTCACTGAGCTGAGGCAGAGTTCTGCTTTAGAGGGCTGGTAACTAGGTCAGCAAGAACCTGCTGAGGAGGCAGGATGGCATGAGAAACTCGTGTGTGTGTGTGTGTGTGTGTGTGTGTGTGTGTGTGTAGTGGGGGAGGTCACTGTATTTGCTGGGCTTTCCCTGAGAGCCAGCTGGCGCCCAGGTCTTCTAGGCATGGCTCAGCTTGCTCCCTTGGACTGGACTCGCCCTAGGCCCTGCCAGTTCATCTTTGTCTGAGCTGCGCCTACATCAGGAAGCCACCTCCTGTTGCATTTCCCACCAAGACTCAGAAAACAGCATCATCTAGCTGGGTGGTCTTGAGTTCAGATCCTCACTGCCTCAGAGTCCCTGAGGGACGCTGGGCTCGGCACCTCACGTCCATGTCCTCTCTGGGACACGGGGCTGTGGAGATCAAACGGGGCAACACCGGCCCCAGGTGTGCCGCAGGCAGCTCAGCACGTGGAGGCTGAGGTGGGAGAGTTATAACCACAGGCGAGGGCTGGCCCTCCCTCCCAAGCCCCCTCGCGTGCTCTCAGACTTACAGACACAGCTGCATCCGTGTCTGCTACCACGCCACCCACAGGACCACCTCTCCAAGCTGCCCCAGCCACGTAGGGCTGCTGAGTCACACTGAGGTCCTCCCCCATCCTGCCAGCCACCGCGGCCTCCCCACGGCCCTGCGCAGTGCACCGGGCAACTTCAGTGCCCGTTCTCACAATGCGATAAGTACCGCTATCCCCAATTTAGGAAACTGAGGCCCCTGGGGCATGATATGACCACAGGGACACCAGGAGCTGGCTGCGGAAGTGGGACTGGAGGCAGGGGTCCTGACGCCCAGAATGCCCAGCAGAGCCTGGTGGGAGGACCGTGCCTCGGAGCCATCTGCAGAGCACCTGCGCAGGACCACCCAGCCTCAGCCCCCCACTGTGGTCTTCTACGTGAGGCTCATCAACGCCATCTGAACCGCACAGGCAGCTCAGCCCATCTCGCTCCCTCACCCTTCAGCTCCCGAATAACAAGAACGGCCAGCAGGCCTTGAGCCCTACTGTGTGCTGCAAACCAAACCTTTTTTTTTTTTTTTTTTGAGATGGAGTCTTGCTCTGTCACCCAGGCAGGAGTGCAGTGGCGTGACTTCGGCTCACTGCAGCCTCTGCCTCCTGGGTTCAAGCAATTCCTCTGCCTCAGCCTCCCGAGTAGCTGAGATTACAGGTGCAAGCCACCATACCCAGCTAATTTTTGTATTTTTAGGAGAGACGGGGTTTCACCATGTTGACCAGGCTGGTCTTAAACTCCTGACCCTAAGTGATCTGCCTACCTCAGCCTCCCAAAGCACAGGGATTACAGGTGTGAGCCATTGCATCTGGCCAGGAAACTAAACGTTTCTCATGAGCGTCTCCTCCTCCCCATGTCTGCCGTCCCCAACACCCGCAGCTGGGACGAGGGCAGCAGCCTCCTCATGGGCCTCTCTGCCTCCTCTCTCTCCCAGATTCCACCTAACACACAACATATAAGTCTGTCGCCACCCTGCCTAAGACCTTCTGTGGCTCCCCACTGTCCTCAGCAGGAACTCCAGGCTCCCCCAGGCCGGCACTCAGGCCCCCACATTCCTCACCGCTTCCACCACGGGCCTCTCCGGCCTGGACGCCCACATTCCTCCATTCACACCACACCTGCCTCACGCCAGCGGACCTCCCAGAGAAAGGCAGAGACGTGGGGCTCCCAGCCGGCCCATGCTCCCCGCCCGGTGCTCCTACTAACACTGCGCTCCTCTGGCATTTGACCTTTGCGCAGGCTGTGCCTCTGCCTGGAATGCCCCTTCCCTACCCATGTTGTGAGGCCCTGCCGGGGCTGGGGAGGTGACTGTGTGCACAACCTGCCCCCTCTTCACATCGGGGGCCAGGACAGGGGTGGCCTTGCCTCTGCCCACACCTCCAGCGCCCAGCATGTCCCGATTTGGGGTGGGGCTGGAAGGGAAAGCAACGCCAGAGCAGAGAGCCTTCCGCACATGCCTCCGTCTTCCTGAAGACCAGACTCATACCCCAGGGCTTCGTCCCTCCTGTTCCCCCTGCACAGAAGGTTCCTCTGCTCCCCGCCAGCCAAGGACCTCCCCATCCTTCAGAGCCCACCTCAGATGCCCCAGACCCCACTCCACAAGGACTGAGGTCTTCTATGACACACCGGCCTGGGGCGGTGTGTGCCACCGACAAGAGTGTGCCCTGGACTTCTGGTTCCTTCTTCTTCACCCCTGTGAGGCTTTGCGGGATGACTGTACTGGCCTCTTCACGCAAGGGTACAGACACAACCTCTGAGACCCAAGATGGAGAAGTGAGTCGATGCGGCTGCAGAGTGAGTCAGAGGTGAAGTCTGACTCGGGGGGGCAGGCCACATGGTGACAGGCATGATGGAGCCGGCGGCCAGGGTGTGGGCAGTTCCAGGGTTTCAGTGTCTGTCTATCTGTACCAGACTCTTCTAAAATCTCCCTTAGACGATCAATATTACTCCATCTGCTCCCACAAGCCAACAAGAAGTAGACATCACCAGAGTGGGTGGCCAGCGAAGGCTGGAAGGTCAGGGCCAGGTCAGGAACAGTCCCGGATTCTCTCCAGCCTTTGAAGCTCCGGCTGGGCATGGGATTCAGGGTGCGGGCCTGGGGTCACGGTCTGAGGGGGGTCTTCCTTCCCAGCAACTCCTGGCCATTTTCCTTCTCAGACTCAACGCCACCTCATGTCCCCCAGGAGTCTCCCGGGCCAGCCCATCCCAGTCTCAGGACCTCACTGCGTGGAGCAGAACTGCAGCAGCTTCATTTCTGCCGCCCACACTGGAGCTGCTGGGCCCCGCTCCCGACCCCTTCCTGCAGCTGAGCTGGGCAGTGGGCTAAGCGGCCTCCTGCCAGGTCGGCTGTGGCTTGCTCTCGGCTCCCATCAGCTTGGGAGGGGCCTGGGTCTCACTAGGGGTTTCATCAGTGCTACCTGCCGGAAAAGGCACTGAGGTGATGGGTGGTGGTCCCTGAGGCCGCAGGAGACAAAGGAGCAGGAGCCCACTGTGACATCAGGGTTCAAGTCCCAGGCCTCAGGAGTATTGTGGAGCCGGGAGGCAGAGCAGAGGCCTGGGCCTGAGCCCTGGCTCTATGGCCAGCTGCCTGCAAGCCTGGGTAGTCACTGCCGGCTCTGTGCCTCAGTCACCTCCTCTGAACTGGGAGAGGGCGGACAAGAGTCTCATCTAAGCATCTGCCCCAGATATTCTTGGTAATGGGAGATCAAAGCCACAAGCCATAAAAAGAGGCAGACACTATCTACACCCCACACAGAACTAAAAACAGAGAAGTCTAAATTGTAAGATGAAAGCAAGTTCAACAAACTGTTGACCTTTCCGTGGTGACTATTCTGATGTTTTTGAAATATAAAATATTAGGCTGGGTGCAGTGGCTCACTCCTGTATGTAATCCCAGCACTTTGGGAGGCCATGGCGGGTGGATCACCTGAGGTCAGGAGTTCGAGACTAGTCTGACCAGTGTGGTGAAACCCCATCTCCACTAAAAATACAAAAATTAGCCAGGCACGGTGGCACGCACCTGTAATCCCAGCTACTTGGAAGGCTAAGACAGGAGAATTGCTTGAACCCGGGAGGTAGAGGTTGCAGTGAGCCAAGACTGCACCACTGCACTCCAGCCTGGGCAACAGAGTGAGATTCTGTCTCAAAGAATAAAATAAAATGGAGGCCGGGAGTGGTGGCTCACACCTGTAATCCCAGCACTTTGGGAGGCCGAGGCGGGTGGATCACGAGGTCAGGAGTTCGACAACAGCCTGGCCAACTGGGTGAAACTCTGTCTCTACTAAAAATGCAAAAAATTAGCTGGGCATGGTGGCAGGTGCCTGTAATCCCAGCTACTCAGGAGGCTGAGGCAGGAGAATTGCTTGAACTGGGGAGGTAGAGGTTGCAGTGAGCTGAGATCATGCCATTGCACTCCAGACTGGGTGGCAGAGTGAGACTCCATCTCAAACAATAAAAAAATAAAATATTAAAATTTGCCCAAAAACGTGGGCCTTGCTGGTGCCCCACACATTCCAGCCTGCTTCCTGGGCGATCTGGCCCCATGTGGAATGCTAATCTTGAGTCCCCTCCCAGCACAGCCTCAGCCCATCTTCTGGGGAGATCTCGGCTACCAGGAACTTTTCACCCACATATGGTTGACGCCCATCCAGTTCTCCTGCCAACCTCCTGAGCGGGGACAGCAGACCCATGGGAAGTCTGCTTTGGCCTCTAGGCAGCACCACCCTGGGCTCCGGCTTGATCTGAACGGCCTCCAGGGGCTCAGCTGACCACGCTCTCTCATCCCTGGGGGCCAGCGAAAGGGCTCATGGCTTGGCTTGCCCAAAGAGGCTTCCGCAGGATACTTAAAGGCCAAAAGGGGACCCCCCCCCCGCAGGCAGCAGAAGTGCCTCCCTACACCCCACATGCCAGTTTTCACCCTGGGCTTAACAACACAGGAAGCAGGCTCCGCTGGCCCACACTCACCCTCGACCATGCAGACACCTGCCCCAGTCTCTCACAGGGTCCTCACCCTCATCAGCCCAACCCCTGCGCTGTAACAGAAGGGAGCTCTGCCAGGCGCAGGCTCCACACTCAGATCCAAGGACCTGCCCCACGTGGGTGCCACGGGGAAAGGGCCTTGGCGGCTGGAGGGGGAACAGAGTGGCAGAGCCTGGAGCCTGAAGCCCCGGCTCCCAGCACTGTCAACACAAAGCCTCAGCCGCCCTTCCCAACAAGCCTGTGGCTCTGACCCACGGAGCAAGAGCACTTCCCCAGAGGGGCTCCCACTCTCTAACCCCATCAGACAGAAACACAGTCACAGCTGTGCTCTGCAGCCCCCCAAGGAGCGGGTGAGAGGACTTACTGGCCACGCAGAGCAGAGTGTGGAAGAACCACATCGCAGTTGGAGCAGCGGCAGCCGTGTGGGAGCCGAGGCGAACACTGCACAGGGGCTTTGGCCCACTCAGCTTCCCTCAGCCAGGAGGCCAGAAGGCGGGGACAGCAAGGACCCACAGCAGACAGGCACTCTCAATCAAACAGAGACACTCCGGCACAGCTGTGTGTGGCTTCCTCAGTTGTGGGCTGGACCCACAGCAGGAGCTTAGGGGGCACTGGCAGCCCCGCTCTATCACCCACGCTGTGACCCACACTTTCACGGAATGGGGAGCTGAGGTTTGGCCCAGGGCCACAATTCTGGGTGTCCTCAGCAGATGCGGGAGGTGCGGGGGCAACATGAATCCGGCTTGCCGTCTGTATCATCCAGCTGAGTCCGTCTCCTGGCCTGCCTCAGAACCTGCCCCCAGACAGCTCAGCCCAGCGTCCTCGGGAGTGCCTGCCTCAGCATTGAGATAGGGGTCCCCCTCCCATAGGACCCCTATGGGAGGTGCCCCCCACCCAGCCAAAACTGGGCTCCGGTAGGAGCCCATGCGCTCGAGGCCCTGGGGTTTCGGAGAGCCAGGCGAGTGGAGAGACCCAGGGCACTGAGCGAAATCACTGCGATTCAACTTCGCTGCCTTTGTTCTCTTTAAAACCAGGACGCAGCCTGATGCTGAAACTGATTTAACAGGGCTCTGAGTCACCAGGATAACGGAAGAAGTCAAATTCTGTAAACCTAGCATACCTCTGATCCATCCCGGCATTCCAGAGAACACGCCGTTGAGTTTGCAGCATATTTAAGGGCTGACTTCAGGGTCGGTGAGATCTGTGCCCTGTGTGGAAGGAAATCTCCTGTCCCCCGCCTGCCAGGCGTGCCGGGTGGCGCTGTGAAACACGACTCCCCGCAGGGATGGCGCTGTTCTCCACAGACATGGTCCAGGACGGTGCCCACGAGCCACGTATGGTACGAGACCCTCCAAATGTCACCAGAACAACGGACAGCTGAATTTTAAGTTTTATTTAATTTAAATTAATTATAACAACAGGGCATTCAAGTGTCTCTCACATGGATGTCTGCAGCCCCAGGGAGGGAACTCTGAAATGTTAGTGTGTTAACACAGAATGGACAGTGGTGCTGACTTCATTGCTAGATAGAAATCCACGTTATTTTGTGTCTCACTGAAAGCTTGTTGGCTAAGGTTTTGTGACGATCCGACGGCACTCCAAACACTTTCGCCTTGTCTGCTTTGGTCTCACAAAGCGCTCATGGCTACTAGATCTTGCTCGGTTATTTAAGATGACAGTTGACCATTTTTCATCCTGTATGAAACAGAAGTTAAACGATTGAAAAAGCAAAAATCCGGGTCTGATGGTTGTTCTGCCAGGTCATGATGAAACCATCCGAGTTCTGTTTACCCGTGTCCCGGGCGGGATCGGAGCCTGTGGCCCAGGCCTGTCTCCCCGTGCCCCTCAGAGCTCTGTGACTCTCCCCTCAATACATTCTTCGTTCTAAGGGCACTTGGGAGAGCCACAGGGGCCTCCTCTCCCAGCCACAGAGCAGATCCCTGGGAGGGCAGGGCTAGAACCCAGACCTCAGCTCCCTCGAGATTTCCAAGAGAAGACTGGAGTGTGAATTTCATGGTGCCTCGGGAAGCCAGGCAAAGCTGACGGCCAAATGCTGGAGAGGGAGCAGGGCCATTTCTGTACCTTTGCAGACTTCTGGAATGCTGACTCGCCCTGCATCCATCCCTGTATTTATCTAAGCGTCAGTGCCTCTGGCCATGAGACACAGAGGGGTCTGTAACGCCCGCCTGACGGTGCCTGCTTTCCCCACAAACCCAAACTACATTGCCAAGGTCAGGGGCCGGGTTGGCTGAGTAACACACCTAGCACAAGGCTGGGGGATGTCGTTTCCCAACTCGTTGGACACAAACGCTCCCGGACCAACCTGAGGAACATTCTACAACAGAAACTGGACTGTACTCTTCCAAACATCAATGTCATGAAAGACAAAGCAAGGCTGAGGACCTGCTCCAGATCAGAGGGGGCTTCAGGGAACTCGCGACAGGGCCTGGTCCTCGAGGGATCCTGGACCAGAACAATGGGTTTCAAACTCGTTATAGGACAGTTGGCAGATTTGAAACATGAACTACAAACTCACAACTTTTGGACTGATGGGAGAATACTGCACATTTTCTTTTTAAATTTTATTTTTGTTTTATTTTTATCACAGGAGAAGGATTTAAGCACATTTCCTGAATTTGAGAGCTGTACCATGGACACTGAGAGGACGCCCCTGCTCTTAGGAAATGTCCATTAACACCTTATGGGTAAACGCGCAATGACGTATGCAAATCACCCTTCATGGTTGTTCACGTTCAGAGAGGACTGGAAGGGAAAGGGGCGAGGGAGGAGAGGAGGGAACAAATGATGTTCTTCGTCGTACTCTTGAAACTGCTGTAATTTTGAAATTATTTCAAAATAAAGTTTTTTTGTTTGAGACGGAGTCTGACTCTGCCACCCAGGCTGGAGTGCAATGGCGCCATCTCAGCTCAATGAAACCTCCACTGCCTGGGTTCAAGTGATTCTCCTGCCTCAGCCTCCTGAGTAGCTGGGACTACAGGCACCTGCCACCATGCCTGTACTAATAATTTTGTATTTTTAGTAGAGACGGGGTTTCACCATGTTGGTCAGGCTGGTCTCGAACTCCTACAGGTGATCTACCCACTTCGACCTCCCAAACTGCTGGGATTACAGGCATGAGCCACCATGCCTGGCCTAAAGTTTTATTTTATTTTTTAATTAAAAAAAAAAAAAAAAAAAAAAAAAAAGCTTTTCTTCTTCCCTTTGATACCAGAAAGAATGAAGCGTATAAAACATGGCCAGCGGGCGCGGTGGCTCACGCTTGTAATCCCAGCACTTTGGGAGGCTGAGGCGGGTGGATCACGAGGTCAAGAGATCGAGACCATCTTGGTCAACATGGTGAAACCCCGTCTCTACTAAAAATACAAAAATTAGCTGGGCATGGTGGCGCGTGCCTGTAATCCCAGCTACTCAGGAGGCTGAGGCAGGAGAATTGCCTGAACCCAGGAGGCGGAGGTTGCGGTGAGCCGAGATCGCGCCATTGCACTCCAGCCTGGGTAACGAGAGCGAAACTCCGTCTAAAAAAAATAAAAAATAAAATAAAAATAAAAAAAATAAAAAATAATAATAATAATAAAAAACATGGCCAGGTCCAGCTGTGCACACGCACAGTCACAGTTACTTGAGAGGCTCAAATTACTTGGAAAAGCTGGAGCCCAGGAGTTTGAGTCTAATCTAGACAACACAGAGTGACTCTGTCTCTTAAAAAAAAAAAAGTTGCAAAATGTTCAGGGATGAAGGAGATGGGCCCGGTGCAAGATGAAAGGGCGGCCTGCAGGTGGGCGTGGTGGCTCGTGCCTGTGATCCCAGCACTTTGAGAGGCTGAGGTGGGAGGATTGCTTGAGCTCAGGAGTTTGAGACCAGCCTGGGCAACATGGTGAAACCCCGTTCTCTACTAAAAATTAGCCAGGCGTGGTGGTGAGCGCCTGTAGTCCCAGCTTCAGAAGGCTGAGGCAGGAGAATTGCTTGAACCTGGGAGTGGAGGTTGCAGTAAGCCAAGATTGTGCCACCACACTCCAGCCTGGATCCGAGCAAGACTTCACCTCAAAAAAAAAAAAGGAAAGAAAGGGCTGTCTGCTATCTTCACTGAGGGCATCCCCTCGTGCCAGTGGACAGAGGCTGGCCATAGCCTTCAGAGGCAGGAGATGGTTCTATTCCCTCACTTGCCTTCTGAGTCTTAGGACCCCAGAAAGACTGACTCAGGAAGAGTAAGGACATTGCTGAGATCAGAGCCTAGGGCTGCAGAGCAGCGGTGATCACAGCCTCTGATTGAGCGCTCCATAAGAGTGCCCGCTCAGTGCCAAGGCCTCACATGCCAGCCCTCGCCTGAGCCTCTCAGCCACCTGTAAGTTCAACCCGACTTCACAAATGAGGGGGATGCTGTCTCCCAGAGAGGCCACACAGCCAGTAAGGAGCAGAGCTGGGACCCAAAAACAGGTCTGTTTCCTCCAGAATCAAGACTCTGAACCATCACAAACTCTCCTGCCTTCAGGTCTATTGGTGTGTAAACTTTTTTGTTTTTGTTTTTGAGATGGAGTCTTGCTCTGTCGTCCAGGCTGGAGTGCAATGGTGCGATCTTGGCTCACTGCAACCTCCACCTCCCGGGTTCAAGCAATTCTCCTGCCTCAGCCTAGCAAGTAGCTGGGACTACACACGCGCACCACCACACTCAGCTAATTTTTGTATTTTTAGTAGAGTTGGGGTTTCACCATGTTGGCCAGGCTGGTCTTGAACTCCTGGCCTCAGGTGATCCGCCCGTCTCGGCCTCCCAAAGTGCTGGGATTACAGGCGTGAGCCACCACACCTGGCCAGGTGGTGTATAAACTTTAAAAAAGCAGAGACTTCATTCCAGAAATACAGGCTGGGATCCCCACATTATTAGGTGCTGTGGACTGAACTGTAAACGCCCTCCAAGTTCATCTGTTGAAGCCCTAACCCCAGTGTGGCTGTTCTTGGAGATACAGCTTTTAGGAAGTCATTAGGGGCTGGGCATGGTGGCTCATGCCTGTAATCCAAGCACTTTGGAGGCCAAGGCAGGCGGATCACCTGCGGTCGGGAGTTCAAGACCAGCCTGACCAACATGGTGAAACCCTGTCTTTAAAAAAAAAAAGGAAGTCATTAGGTTGAGTGAGGTCATAATCCAAGAAGATTGGGGGGACCTGACAAGGGCCACGTGCACACACCAAGGAAAGCCTAATTGAGCAAGACAAGCAAGAGGGTGCCCACCATGCTAGCATCCTGATTGTTGGCTTCTGGACCTCAGACCTGTGGGGGGCTGAGGGGTGATGGGACAGGGGGAGAGCAAGGGGTGGGCTCTCTTGTCCTTGGGGCTGTGAGGGGAGGGCTGCACTGGGTGCAGGGACCAAGGCTCCTTCGAGGCTTGGCTGTCTTGCTGACAAGCCCCTACTTCTTCCCTACTGTCTGGCCCACACCCCTGACGCTCCCTGGAGAGGACAGCACAGGCCCTGAACACACACTGGCATTAGAAGGAAGCTGGGGCTCATCCCAGCTGAGCCCTTCATTTCACACACAGGGACGCTGAGGCCCAGAGAGGTGAGGGGACTTGCTCAGTCCTTCCAACTGAGTACGTGGCGCAGGAGTCCCCAGGGCGCCAGCCCCCGCCGCCATCCTATGTGACTTTCCCCAACAGGCATTCTACCTGAGCCAAAGCTGCTGCCTGCCTCTCACAGGCCCTCTGAGGAGAAGACGGCCACATCACAGGATCGAACACTACCACAGAAACCCCAGGGAGGGACAGGAAGGCGAGAATTCTTTTTTTTTTTTTTTTTTTTTTTTTTGAGATGGAATCTCACTCTGTCACCTAGGCTGGAGTGCAACGGTGAAATCTCGGCTCACTGCAACCCCCGCCTCCAGGGTTCAAGTAATTCTCCTGTCTCAGCCTCCTGAGTAGCTGGGACTACAGGCATGATACACCATGCCCAGCTAATTTTTTTTAGTAGAGACAGGGTTTCACCATGTTGGCCAGGCTGGTCTGGAACTCCTGACCTCAGGTGCTCTGCCCGCCTCGGTCTCCAGAAGTGCTGGGATGACAGGTGTGAGTCACCGCGCTCAGCCCGAGAATTCTCTTCTGCCAATGGTGTAGGCCTCTCGACCTCACTAACTACACTGGCCCAGAGGTGAGCGTGACAATTTAAGATAAACAAAGTCTCAACTATTTAAGGATCTGGTCATCCAGAGAGGGCTCTTGGAATTGCTCAAATGAACAGATACGAATCCTGAGGCAGGTACTGACTGCGGCAGGTGAAACACCACCTCTATGCTGGAGTTTTATTTATAGCACGGCAAAATTCCACTTCAATGCCTCACAACTGCTCAAAACAGGCTTTTGGAGGCAGCATTTCCCTAGCCACTCCCAGGAACAGAGTTCTGTGAAATGTTCAGCGTTTCATTGAAAAAAAAAAAAAAAGCTACAATATTTTTTTCTTCTAAGATTTATTTTATAAACATTTAAGAAAAGTTCTAGATATTTATTGTGGGCCTGGTTATGCAGTAACAATCTGCCTTATTGCAAGTGTGCAATTCTCAGTATCAAAAGCATTCTCTTCTCTTAGTTCATAAAAGAAAAAATTGGTTTAACTTCTAATTTACTTCCTGTTATTATAAGGTTTAAAAGCAATTACTGTACTTACCTATCAAACTTACTTGTGTAGCAACTAATTAACCTGGGAAGCCATGATTTGCTGTAGGCTTCCCAGCAAGTTTGGAATTGAATCTAAAGTGCGTGTTAGCATCTCACTGTAACTTAATGCTTCAAATGAGAAGTTTGAGGAATGCTGCTTTTGGCAAAAGAGCCACTGCGGGAGTGAGTTCTGCTCTCTTCACCTGCTCGGGACTGCTGTCATGTTCCTCAGCAAGAGGACCACGGGCTAAGACCTGGCTCCACAGTCCTTCTTTGGGGCCGATCACCCGCCTGCCAGCTTCCTCTGCTTCTACAGTGGGACAGAGGAATGCTTTTCTAAAAGATATTCTGGCCTATCTGCATGATTCCCTGGTTAACACTGAAGCTGACATGGCCAGATCATCAAAATCTGAAGTTTACTCAGGTCTATTTAATGAAAAATTTTTTTTCTCATGCAAGCATATGTACCTTTGAATAATCTTCCATTTTTCCAATCTGGGGGTTTCATCTAGATTTAGACTAGCCTGCAGATAACGATGCCAGAGCTGGGCTGGGTTACCACAATTCATTCATTTACCAAACACGTTCGAAGCACTACTTCCTCTGGGCTGGCCCGATGCAAGGATACAGAGATAATACCACAAAGAAACCTGCTCATTAGGAGCTTGCTTACAGGCTAGAAAGGAACATACAACACGAGAATAAAGCACTGTACGTACACAGCAGAAAAATAACTAGCCCGTCAGAGGGCCCCAGAGCCTCAGAGGATGGAGCCGTTCCTGAGGCCGGAGGGTTTACAAATTCATTCCATCTTTACAGAAGACCTGCTCGATGCCAGGCGTGGTGGTAGGCAGTGGGGAAACCCTGGTGAACAAGCAGACATGGTCCCTGCCCTCACGGAGCTTACAGTCTAGCAAAACAAAAATTACAGTCCACTGTAGAGATGTGCTGGGTTGTGGGGTACAGTGAGTTGGCATTATACACACATTTCACTTAAACACAATGGTATTTGTCTGAAAAAGCTTTAAAAAAAGAAAAACAAATAAGTTGTTTGGGCCATTCCGCTGGCCCCTTTTTCCCTCCATGAGCACAGACAGGAGTGGGGCCCAGGCAAGCTCATGCCTCTGCTGCTCCTGTGGCCTGCCCCAGTTCCCATGCTCCCCAAAAGTGATCTACTCGCCTAAATGTGGTTCTGACACCAAAAACAAGTGACTTTTGCACAACACGGCCCTAACTACAGGGCAATCACTTTACCTGGTACTCAACCACAGAAACAGTGATCTGTTCCCATATGGGCAAGAAATGACGATATGGGACCTTAAGATGCTGGCCTTCAACATGGCGTCCTCCATCGATTTCTAAGAGGAATTTTCATTCCATTCCATTTTTATCTTAGGCATTGACCTTGTAACTGAATCCCGGAGAGAGCCAAGACTCTTTGTGGCAGTACCATGGGACACACAGAAGTGGCCTACACCCTGGCTCTGGAAGTTGGGGATTGCCTCCTAGAAGGGCCCCCAAGATCTTGAGGGTGAGGGGAAGGGCAAGACTGAGGCGGGAGGTGAGAGGCTTGGGGGAGTATGTGGCTGGAGGTAGAAACAACACCTTGCACAGTCTGTGGGGCTAGTGAGGTCAAGATGCAGGCAGGGAACTAGCAAGCAGAGGGCAGGGGAGGGGGAACAGGCCAGAAACACTGCCAGAAGATAGGCCTTGACAGGCCATATGAAGAGCTATTTCAAAAGGGTGGAATTTGCTTATGTATGTATTTTTGAGACAGGGTCTTGCTCTGGAGTACAGTGCCCAGGCTGGAGTACAGTGGCTTGATCGCTGCAGCCTCAAATTCCTGGGCTCATGCGATCAGAAGTTTGGAATTTATTCTCAGGGTAATGGTGAAGCTTTGAAAAGGTTTCAAGTAGAGGAATAACAGAATCAGATTTATATTTAAGCAAGTTCATCCTGAAGTATGTGAAAAGATGCCCAACACCATTAGCCACTAGGGAAATCCAAATCAAAACCACAATGAGGGCCAGGAGTGGCGGCTCATGCTTGGAATCCCAGCGCTTTGGAAGGTTGAGGCAGGAGGATCACTTGAGGCCAGGAGTGTGAGACCAGCCTGGTCAACATAACGAGGTCCCATCGGTACAAAACATATTTTAAAAAGAAAAAAATTGAAAAACTACAACGAGATACCACCTCACATCAGAAAATAATGAGTGTCAGGGAAGATGTGGAGAAACTAGAACCCTCTTACATTGTTAGTGGGAATGGAAAGTGATACAGCTGTTGAAAAACTGCCTGGTGGTTCCTCAAAAGGTTAAAGATAGTTGCTGTATATCCCAGCAATTCCACTCCTAGGTATACACCCAACAGGAGTGAGAACACTGTTCGATGCAAAAATTTGTATGGGAATGTTCATAGCAACATTATTCATAGTAGCCAAAAAGTAGGGCCAGGTGTGGTGGTTCATGCCTGTCATCCCAGCACTTTGGGAGGCTGAGGCAGGTGGATCACCTGAGACCAGGAGTTCAAGACCAGCCTGACCAACATGGTGAAACCCTGTCTCTACTAAATATACAAAAAATTAGCTGGCGTGGTGACACATGCCTGTAATCCCAGCTACTCTGGAGGCTAAGGCAGGAGAATTGCTTAATCCCAAGAGGCAGAGCATGCAGTGAGCCAAGATCATGCCATTGCACTCCAGCCTGGGTAACGAGAGTGAAACTCCATCTCAAAAAAAAAAAAAAAAAAAAAAAAATACATACATATATATAGCCCAAAAGTAGAAACAACTCAAATGCCCGTTGACCGATGAATGAATAAAAACAAATGTGGTGTGCTCATAAAATGAACTATTATTTGGCAATTTTAAAAAATGAAATAATGATATACGCTATGACATGGATGAACCTCAAAAATATGTTAAGAAGCCAGTCACAGATAGACACATGGTGGATTCCGTTTACGTGAACTGTCCGGAACAGCAGATCCACAGAGAGAAAGAGCAGCGGCGGCCAGAGGCTAACAGGGAGGGATGGGGAGTGCTGCTAATGCACTCAGGGTTCCTTTGGGTGAGATCAATGTTTTCAAGTTGATGACAGTGCTGGGCCACCAGTCTGTAAATACACTCAAAGTCACTGAAGTGTACACTGCAAATAACTGAACTGTATGCAGATTACCTCTAAATTAAGCTGGTAACAAGGGTTTGTCCTGGCTGCAGCATGCAGAATGGAGGCAGGATGGAGGCAGGGCAGAGAGCAGTGACGGGCTGCTACACAAATGGAGCTGGAAAGGACAGTGGCTGAACTGTGGGGAGGGAGTCACAGGACCAGACTACAAGGGGCCAGAGGAGAAGACTGCATCCTGTCGTGGGCGCCACGAGTTCTCCGGGGCACCTGGCAACTCTCCAAAGAGGAGAGTGGGAACAAATGAGGTACTGCAACTATCAGGCAGCACAGATGTGCTTAAAATCTCCTACACGGAAGACTAAGAGGAACACAGAAAGTGTGTCGCCCACGGGCGTGGGGAGTGTCCAGGATAAAGGCACGCCAAGCTGCGTGCCAGGGGACTGTGCTGACTGTCCATCCTCCCTCCTAAACGCCAAAGGAAAGGCCTCGTCGTTCAGGGCACACTCAAGATGTTGCAAGATCTGCATGACTGAGAGTGGGCTGGAGAGTTAAGAGGCCAAGAAGGCCAATCGCTCCCAGAAGTCAAATCTTTAAAGCTGCCTTTCTGGGTTCTCTGCATGTCTGTGAAAACTGTAAGGCTGCTGAAGTGCGCATTTTTCTTGGTTAGGGCAAAGACCCAGTTTTGACTGCACACCACCTCCTTCCAGAACGTCTTTGCTCATCTCCAGAAGGAGACTGATGAGTGCAGAAAGGCCATGGGACAAATGGAACTGGACTGCTGGTGGAAAACCAAAAGGCAAGTCTGTGAAGGAGCAGATTCCAAACCCTGCAGAGACTGGCAGCTGGGACCATGACCACAAGACATCCTGGCCCCATTAGAAGAAGCAGAGACTGTACTGGGATGGGAATAAGCACCTGGCCACACTTCACGCATGCCCTCCGACACCTCCTCGATGCTTCCTCCACCTTCAATAGTAATTAGTGCCGGCCAGCCACTGCCGCCACAGCTAGGGAAGAGGAAAACACCCTTGAGACGCGCCAACAAAGCCGGGAGTTCTGGTACCAGCACGCTCAACTGCTAAATGGGAACATGGAGGCGCAGGTCCATGGAGCAGAGCCAGCGTGGGCATCCAGGGCTCTGCACTTCTCACTCTACCAACTCCTCAAACCCTGGCCTTTCCTAAGAACCTGGCTCTCAGGCGTGTGCTTCACAGGGAAAGAAAAGGTGAAGAATCTCAGATGCCTAAGTCTCAACTGGCAGAGAAACCAGGATCATCTCTTTCCTAGAAAAGAAACTGAAACTGATCATGGTTATATGCTGTCATCTCTCTAAATGGAGGGGAAAAGCAGGTTAACCAACAAAACATGGGGCGACAGGGTTTTAGCTGCAGCTCTCCAATCTTACAGCCCTTTACTTCCTTTATTACCAACAGTGCGTGGCATTCATTCGCGCCACAGTAATCAACTATCAGTGTGACCAGTAGCTCAGCCAAGCAAGGATCCCGGCTGCACCACGTGCAGAACAGCCCAGGCAGCTGAAGAGCTGAGATGTCGCAAACACGACCAGGCTTATCACCGTCTCTGCCTCCCATGGTCCAGCAAACCGAGGCCAAACACCATTTCCTAAAACTGCAGAGGAGTCCAAAATTAAATACTACCAAACAAAAAGCAGACAGGAAGACGAAATAATCTACCTCCTCCTCATGGAAAAATAATCTGAAAGGAGTTTAAAAATACACGAACTAAAATTTTTATAACTATTATCTGCCAATTTTGAAGAAGTCTTCGGGTGCCACAACTGGGGGACAGGAAGAATAAATATCAATGTATAACTTCTAGAGTGATAATAAACAACGGGACCCCATCTCGGATGGATGGCGTTTTTTCCCTGCTGTAGCCAAAAAGCAAGCTGAACTCTATGTACAACAGACAGACTATACACTTAGGAGCATTTAAAAATAAGAAGACTCCTCTCTGCCTTCTTCCAAAGAATAGAATATATATTTAACAGCACAAAAGAAGACACCACTTGAGCTTCCCCTTTAGCCAACAGGAAGAATTTCCACATATAAAAATTAAAAATTTAAACTTTTAAATCATTCGTGTTTTAAACGTAATACAGACTTATAAATTGTTCAACATTAACCCATAATCCCACCCCTAGCACAAAAATCAACCCCAAATCCAGAAGTCACAGGTTTTTGTTCCTAAAAATCCCATAGCACTGAACTTGATCTTCACATCAGGCTGACAGCAAGTAAGAGGCCTGTAACATGAGCAATCCCGAGGGTGGAACGGAAGCACAATCAATGCTGCGTCTCTGATCTACCTGGCGGCACTGGTGCACCTCTGAGGTCAGGTCCATGAGATTCGCCCCCACACTAGGGCCCCGGAAGGGTGAGCTGGCCGCTTCCCTCATCTTCCCCCTCGAAGGATGTCCAATAAGCACCTGGGAATTGACTTTTCTTGGGAAAAGGGTGCTGGTAACAGCTGTCAGGGCCAAGGCAATAGTGAGAAGTTCAGTTCTCTGCTCTTTGGATGAACTGTGTAAAACATTTCTTTTAAAAGACACAATGTTAAAAATATTAAGAAAAATGTCTACAAAATCTGGAGGGCTGCCTTTTTCTCAAAGGGTAAAGCCTGTGGGGTGGTGGGAAAAGAATCGAGGGCCCAGAACTACAACTCTGCAGCGAGATAGAGATGCCCTTGAAAACGTGTCACATTCTTAAGATGCCTTGCCGAAGCAGCAAGAGCTGAGGGTGACTGTGTGAGCAGGGGCGAGAGGGCGCCGGCTCCTGGGCTCCTGCGGGGGAGGTTGCTACTGCGCCCCACCCCGTGCCCGAATGTCAGGCTTTAGGGCAGCTGCCACAGGCCCCGGGGGCATCAGGACTCTGCCTCTGAACCAGAGCTGCTTTCCCGACTAACTTCAATCTGGAGAGATGGTAAGTTATCTAACCGGCTCTTCTTTTGGTGAGACTGCTCTTTCTCCTTAATCAGAGCCCCCCACGCCCTTTGCAGCTCGGAGTCGTCTTCCTCGGCGCCAGGTGGCCTGTGATCCCCTTTCTTCGTATTCTTTTCTTTGGTCTTGGGTGCAGATCCTAAGCGAGTCCATAAATTACCTGTTTGGATGACATGACATTTCAGTTTTGCAGTCAGCGCTAAGAACCAGGGTAGTACCAAGAGGGCAGTGGCACTGTCAACCCCTGATGTGCAGGAAACACCAGCAGTCTGTGGTGCCTGCCAGCACGGTGCAGCCTTGGGAAGGTCATCTCATTTCCCGGGGGCAGCCCCTGCCTGCAAACAGAGGGATCTGGACTCTGCAGGGGATTCTCACTGTGCGGGGCCGGTCCTGTCACCAGACACACGGGATCACCTGAGAGGCTGTTTCCTCCTGCTCCTGCCCTTCCCTGCTGAGACATGCCCCTGTGTGCCAATCCTTTCTGCCGGGAGTAGGCCATTCCCAGATCCTTCCAGCTCCAACATTCTACAAATCAATGGGCCTACTGCACTGCAACATTTCAGAAATTCTGCCCACTATCCATTCATTTTTGAAATACATTTTATGAAAATTTCACAGGAGAAATGCGTGTTTAGATTTTGTGGACAGCCACATTATAAGGCAGTTAAAAGTGGTTTCTGTTTTTGTTTTTTGAGACAGGGTCTTGCTCTGTTGCCCAGGCTGAAGTGCAGGCACCCACCACCACACCTGGCTAACTTCTGTATTTTTAGTAGAGACGGGGTTTCACCACATTGGTCAGGCTGGTCTCAAACTCCTGACCTCAAGTGATCCACCCGCCTCGGCCTCCCAAAGTGCTGGGATTACAGGCATGAGGCACCGTGCTTGGCCTACAAGTTTTATTTATAAGATGATAAAATGTGGGAAATGACATGATGAAATGCTATATGAAAAAAGCAGGATTTGTATGTGGACAAAGATCGGAATAGCTCACATGAAACTAAAAAGGATCTGTGCCACACAGAAGGAACCAGAGCATGCTATTTTTTTTCCATTTTCTAAGCGTTCCTTACTGTTGGGATGCTGATGCTGATGATGACCTTAAAGGAAAAGGAATCATCGCTTATGTTTGGCATGTGCTGTTTCTTGCCTTCTGATAAGAAGGTATTTCTACAATACACCACTGTCCTCTGCCCTCACTGAACTCCCCATCCCATCAATGTTAAGTGTTACCAACCTGATTTCCTCTCCCGAGTATCGGCGTAGAGGCCTTTAATATCTTGCCTGGGAACGCCTAGCCTGCTATGAACATCAGAAGAGGGCTCTCTCCGAACCACTGGGTTACTACTAAAAGCCTTTTCTGGAGAATACGGTCTTTTTCCTAACCGCTGGCGTATATCTGAAAGCAGAGAAAGTACAACAGTCACAGTGTATGTGCCTTACTCTTGGCACCATCTGCCTGAGACCTCTAAAGGATCTGCCACCAGCTCTCCCTAAGTGAGGACACAGGGCCTGACAAGCAGGCTGCTATGTATCTTTCCTTTGTCATCAGTCTGGATTTCCCTAGGAAAATTCGGACATAGGTGCTGTCAGGGGGAAAATCTTCAATTGATTGCTCCAGAGCTAAATTTTTGAAGAAACAATCTCTCTCTCTTTTTTTTTTTTTTTTTAGCAGATTCAAGCAGACTAAATAATTTACAAAAATTTCAGCTAACAGAAGAATCCTGTGAGCTCCCTGAGAGCAGAAGGCACAATCTGTGAACATATAAGTAGTTCCCAATAAAGACACTGGCAACCAGCAAAAGCAAAGGATAAAAATTTGTTTTTCCCTCCATCCCCTCAGAAGTCTGCCTGTCCCCTTGCGTTCCCTCTAACAACGACAGCAACAGCCGAAACACATTTGTCGGCGAGACCTTGTGCTGAGGCCTCATCTCTAACTTCTCTCGGAGAGCAGCACCCCGGCCTCTGCTCGCTCAGGCCCGAGCCCCTTCCTCCAGCACTTCCTAGCCCTGAGTCTTCCTTCACAGGACTTCCTGTTCTTTATCCATTGTCTCCGCTGACCTAGCTCAGGCTCCTGGTACTGATTTAATTCTCCACCCCACCCCACTGCACCCTCCAGTTATCTCTCTAACATAGATCTAAGACCAGGTTACTTCCTATCTAAAAAAATCAGGTTTGCCAACAAAGATGCTGCCCTTCTGAGGCCGCGCTCTAAAGCTACTTTCTCTAAGAGCCTTTCACAATCTCCTTAGTAGATCGGCAATGGCTGTGTGTCTCCTCCAAAGACCTCTCACGCTCCTAAGCACCCAGCCCTGCCTCAGACACATGGCAGGTTTGGCTAAACACCCGCTGAATGAGTGTTTGCACGTACCAATGATCTAGTGTAAACTCTTAACCATTCAGACTACTGCCCAGCTTAATTTCCATTATTCTTGTATATAAAGTATGCCAATGTCATACAGAGTAAAATATGGCTGGCGCAACTCATCCATGGGCTCCACATCTACAGATTCAACCAACTGCGGACCGAATATATTTGGGAAAAAAAAATAAGACATAACAGTCCAGCAAAAAGAAATACAGGATAAGAATTTATACTGTATTAGGTATTATAAATAATCTAGAGATGACTTAAAAGTATCTGAGAGGGTGTGTGTAGGTTACAGGCAGATAATATGTCACTTTAAGGGACTTAAGCATCAATGGATTTTGGTATCTGCAGATTTCGGTATCTGTAGGGGTGCAGGGAGTCCCAGAAACAGACCCCCAGAAATACCAAGGAACGACTGTAATTATTTGGAATAACAATATTTAAAACTAGTTTTGCAAAAGTCTGATTACTTTTCATTTCCTGAAATTCCAACACCTAGCCCAAAATCTAGACATGATGAGCCAGGACAGCGAAATGAGTTCACAAATGGCGTAGTTTACCCAAGAACTCAACTCTGCCCCAGTCTGCTTTCTGGAGCTCAGAATATAGCCCAGAAACACAGCTGAAGAACAATACCTGATTTAGTGTTGCTGACTGGTGGCCGTGGACGCGAGTGCTGGCGTTTTTCATCTAACAGATGTCGGACATCCGCGAATTTCTCAGGTGGTGGTTTGTTACCAATTCGGTTTTTGATATTGCTTGAAGATACACTATCTGCCCTCATGGAGTTCCTTTAAAAAGGGGGTAGGACAGGGCACAGTTAACCAACTTCAGCTCTGAGACGAGGCCCAAACAACAATCTCATGCTTTGGAGGACACAATTTAAGAAATTCAATTTAATATGGCCAACATTCATTACAAATCCATAAACTTACAATTATTTGCTTATGGAAACCATGAGCTACCTGCTATAAAGAGCCTGGTCTGGGTGAGCAGGTTTTCGAATGTGGTTTCCACACGTGTATGTGCTATCACAGAGCACGAGACTACCAGTCTCCCTCTCCTGGGACAGATGTTAAGTAGAGGCCTACAAAGAGACTGGGGCTTCCGCTCACCCATGCTGTGATTTGGCTGTAGTCAACACACAGTGTAGTCTACAGTCACTCTCTTTAAAGGGCAGACTTCTCTTTCAAAAAGATATGCTACCATGCTAGGTAACAGCACGGTTCCGGTGGCATTCTCTACCAGAAAGTTCTCTGAAAACTAAAAATAAGAGTGTGAACAAGGCCATACAAACAAATCAGCTTGAATGGTCTTTTCTCCTCCCCACAAACATCCCGAGAACACGTGAGATAAAGCATCTCTAGACTTTAACCCTTGAATTGTGGATTCTGCCCGCACAGAATCTGCTCACTCCTAGTAGTCATCAAAGACATGCACACTGAAATAACTAATTCGTTTTTGTTCATGAAACTAGCTAACATTAGAAAGAATGGTAATAGCTAAGGCTGGTGAGCATGTAGGTAATAGTGGTAATGTGTGTGATTAAAACCCTTCTGGAAAACAATTTAGCAATACTTACCACCTTTTAAAACATGTATATTGTTTTACATAATAACTGGACTTTGAAGAATTTATCTAGTTAGTGCAACAGTAAGAAAATAGAAACCTAAAGTCCATCAAAAAGGAATTAGTTAAATAAATCATGATACTTTCTTTTTTTTTTTTTTTTTTTTTTTTGAGACGGAGTTTCGCTCTTGTTACCCAGGCTGGAGTGCAATGGCGCGATCTCGGCTCACCGCAACCTCCGTCTCCTGGGTTCAGGCAATTCTCCTGCCTCAGCCTCCTCAGTAGCTGGGATTACAGGCACGCGCCACCATGCCCAGCTAATTTTTTTATTTTTAGTAGAGACGGGGTTTCACCATGTTGACCAGGATGGTCTCGATCTCTTGACCTCGTGATCCACCCGCCTCAGCCTCCCAAAGTGCTGGGATTACAGGCTTGAGCCACCGCGCCCGGCAATCATGATACTTTCAATGGACTACATACAGTTGAAAAAAATAACAATGTCTATAAAGTGAAAAATGCACAATGCAAAACTATAAATGGCATAACCCCATTTTTATAAGAAATATACTTTCATACAAATATATCTATAGTTTTTCCATGTACCATACACACATACACACAGCTGAAAGGTTATCCACCCAGCTGTGAACAGTGTTACTGTCAGGAAAGAATGGGAATACAGGTGATTTTCACTTTCTACATTGTCTATAGCTTTTATAACAAGAATCGCTGCTTATATAGAGGAAACACTGGATGTGTTTATTAAACTCCTACAAGGGACTGACATCAGAATAGATGAAAGACATTATAAAATTAGGAGGAATTAAGAAGAAGTCACATTAGTATTTAAAATCAAATGAAAAGCTGGCATTGATAAAACAAAGTTTTTACCTAATGTTTTTCAACTGAGATTCCACTTCATCAGCATACATAGTCATTTTCATGCTCTTCTTTGGGGAAGGAGTGGAAATCATTTTCAGTTCCAGATCATAGTCCATTTCGTCTGAGTCCGAGCTGCTGGCACTGGACCGCCTGGATGCGCTCCGCTCTCGGGACTGCTTGAGAGCCGGGAGCTCCTCGTGGTACTCCACCACCACTCTGTCATCTGCATCCATGTCCTGGTCTTCCTCCTCCTCCTCCTCCTCCTCTTCCTCCTCCTCCTCCTCCTCTTCAATGGGTTCCTCAGGCACATTCACTAGTCCTGAAGAAATTTAATCAGAAAACATTAGGAAAAGCACTAAAATTAAGAAGTATGATTTTCTACTCTACATCGGTGACCTTTTTAAAGACGGGGCTCCCATCCCTGACATTTTATAAGAGCACGATCTGTAATAGTGCTGACGGACATTACTCTGATACTGTTAACAGGAGCATGGCTAGGTAAAGTATGATGTAGCAACCTAATCAAATATCATAAAGTCACTTAAAATACACTGATCCATTATTCACAGTTTTTGTATTTGCAAATTTGCCAAATTTATTTGTAACTCCAAAATCAACACTCGCAATGCTTCAGTGGTCGTTTGCTGACACGCACAGAATGGCAAAAAGCTCCGAGTCAGACACGCACACTCCCAGCTGAGGTCAAACAAAGCAACACTCTGCCTTCTTGTTTCATCTCATGCTGTAAACAAGTGTCTGTTTCAGTCTGCCGCTAGCCACATTTTTCACACTTCTGCACTTGCTCCTAGTGATTTCACTGCTTAAAACTGCCCCCAGTGTTCTGCTCAAGTGCTGCCTGGTGCTCCTAGATGCAACCAGGCTGTGATGGGCGGTGTTCAGCGTGAGTTTTAGGGCTACTGGCTATGAATTCAATGTTAAATAAGGTGTCTTTAAACAGAAACACATATAACAAGGTACCATATTGATCCACTGACAAAAATGATGTGACCAGAGGCTATGCACGATTCAGTATTTGCTAATTCCGTATTCACAGTGACTTTATAGAACATAAGTCCCATGAATAATGAAAATCAATGGGAAAATACAATAAACAAAAGCAGCAGAATAGAAAGTATACGTTCACAAGAGTTAACTATTTATTATGAAAATAGACAAATGGGGCCGGGCGCGGTGGCTCGAGCCTGTAATCCCAGCACTGTGGGAGGCCGAGGCGGGTGGATCACGAGGTCAAGAGATCGAGACCATCCTGGTCAACATGGTGAAACCCCGTCTCTACTAAAAATACAAAAAATTAGCTGGACATGGTGGCACGTGCCTGTAATCCCAGCGACTCAGGAGGCTGGGGCAGGAGAATTGCCTGAACCCGGGAGGCGGAGGTTGCGGTGAGCCGAGATCGTGCCATTGCACTCCAGCCTGGGTAACAAGAGCGAAACTCCGTCTCAAAAAAAAAAAAAAAAAGAAAATAGACAAATGGGAAAAATGTGAGATGAACTCAGTTATCATACAAGGTACTAGAAATGGGCAACTTCCTTTTTAATTTCCTTAATATGTACATAAAAACTGTATGATGAAAATATTTATAGTCAGTAAAACTGGAAACGCGTAACAGTGTAACAGAAAAGTATGTGTATTATTATTGTTGTTGTCGTTGTTGTTGTTATTTTGAGACAAGGTGTTGCTCTGTCGCCCAGGTTGGAACACAGTAACACCATCTTGTCTCACTGCAGCCTTGACCTCCCAGGCTCAGGCAATCTCAGCCTCCCAAGTAGACCATGCCTGGTCCGGCTACTTTTTTATTCTTTTGTAAAGACAAGGTCTCACTATGTTGCCCAGGCTCGTCTCAAGCTCCTGGTTTCAAGTGATCCTCCTGCCTCGGCCTCCCAAAGTGCTGGGATTATAGGTTGAGCCACTGTTCCCAGCCTAAGTGTATTATTAATATGTAGATCTCAAATAAACAATGTTGTATATACACATTGAATAAAATGTCTAGACTTTATCCCTTTCTGTCCCCATTACAATCAATGTGTGTGTATGTGATTCTGTATGCTGACTTGACAAGTTCTATTATGCATGTAGAAGAGTCCACGTATTAGGCTCAAAATAAGAACAATTCATTATAAAACATAATTAAAATGGTTCTTTTACAAATAAGCACCAAAAAAGGAGAAAGAAACCCACTTTTCTGATATTTCCCTTTTCTGAGGCATTCACATGCACAAACCAACAAGCACAAAGCACTCAACACAGCAGCCTATTTTTATTACAGAAAAAGAAAAATACAATCAGTTTATATGACAAAATAATTGTAAAAATTATTTCCAGCCGGGCGTGTTAACTCACGCCTGTAATCCCAGCACTTTCAGAGGCCAAGGAGGGCAGATCACAAGGCCGAGGAGGGCGGATCGAGACCAGCCTGGCCAACATGGTGAAACCCATTTCTACTAAAAATACAAAAATTAGCTGGGCGTGGTGGTGCACGCCTGTAGTCCCAGCTACTCAGGAGGCTAAGGCAGGAGAATCACTTGAACCCAAGAGGCAGAGGTTGCAGGGAGCCAAGATCATGCCACTGCACTCCAGCCTGGGCGACAGAGCGAGACTCCGTCTAAAAATAAAACAAAATTGTTTTCATGCAGCTGTTGATATTAATAGTTGAAAAATTAGGATCCTAAAAAAAGGTTTAATTTTCCCTGTGTCACATTTGGCCTTTTTGATAGAACAGCTTTTATAAAATCATTTGATCTCTTTGGGCAACTTAAAATTAACTGTGACTTGACTTACTTTCCTATATGTTGGCAGAGGGTGAGGGCAAGGAAGAGAGGATGATAAAGTTTGGAACCTTAAAAGATTGTATTAAGAATAAAAATATGATTTCAGGAGCCAAACATGTGTCTACCCAAGAGCTGAGCAGGCAACTACCAGAATGCCGATGTTTATACGACGTCAAGCCAACGTCATCCCCAATCAGGGCTCTCTTCTTGATCACGTCCCGCTGAATACGACGGGAATGATATCTTCGCTTCCTGCAAGAATGCCAAAATAAGCATACAATCAAAAACTAACAGGAAGGACCTTGAAATCCACTAGCCCATTTCTTTCTTTCTTTCTTTTTTTTGTGATGGAGTCTCTCACCGTCTCCCAGGCTGAAGTGCAGTGGCTATCTCAGCTCGCTGCAACCTCCGCCTCCCGAGTTGAAGCAATTCTTCTGCCTCAGCCTCCTGAGTAGGTGGGACTACAGGTGTGCGCCATCACGCCTGGCCCATTTTTGTATTTTGAGTAGAGACAGGGTTTCACCATGTTGGCCAGGCTGGTCTAGAACTCCTGACCTCAAGTGATCCATTCGCCTCGGACTCCCAAAGTGCTGGGATTACAGGCGTGGGACACTGCATCTGGCCTCACTAATTCACTTCAACTACACACTTGACAGAATGTTAGGTACTAAAAGAGATATTTTCAATGTAACTAAAACTCAACATTCCCCATCATTTACCACATTTAAGAATCTTGAATTCTTCCCTCATCTCCTTCCAGTCTACACGGGGTTTAGACATTTCACCACAGAATACTAACTGAAGGATTAAGAAAAACTTAAATACTTTTGCATTTTAAGGTTTTGGGCTCACCATGAATTGCTAAGAATTCCTTTCATGCCTCCGTAATTTGGATTCCCGTATTTCATGTAATACTGACTTCTTCTGGCTGCTCCAAGTTCCTTTTTGTCATCTAAAAATTAATTATAATAGTTACCCAGGATTTCCTGTGAGTGTGAAGGCAATGTTGAATGTTTTCTGTTGTTTTTTTTTTTTTCTTAATGATTTCCATAGCTGGAATCAGATCAGCGCAATTTGCAAACAAACAGGAAAAATCCACTACCAAATTCACACTCTGAATGCCCACCACCACAGTTGAGTGTAGAGTGGATAAAGCCGAATACAGAGACAAACAAGGTTACAACTCTGTTTTGGAGCCAAATGACTTAACGGGGAAATAAAAATAAACAATACAAGACACAAGGTTCCAAGAGGCATAAAGAGCTTTAGGTCATTGCAGGTACTCAGGAATCAAAAAGGCTTTCTCAAAATGGCATTTTTGCTACCCCATGAAAGGTGATACTCACTTCTGAATAACAACACGCCAACAACACAGAATCAGGATGAAGGAAACAGAGTGTATATAATTCCATATATTTGGTAAATCATTTTTTCCAGCTTACTGTGTTTCTCAAAATGGCTTAAAGAAAACGGCCTCGTACTATACATCTAGAATGTACTCAATCGACCACTCAAGTGAGTAAATGTGGTATATTTGTCAAGTTAAAACGTCGGTTAACAGGAAAGAAAGGTGGTCAGTGATGATAAATTTTTGTCCAAAGCAGTAATACAAAGGCCTTCCACGGTTCTTGGATACACTCATAGTAAATAACAAACACCACTGTAAATACACCCAGTGCTGCAGGTAAATGTGACAACACAAACTGGTATGCACAGCCCCCAACCCTGAACCCCTCAAACCATGCCCACCAGCTCCTCGGAGAAATGGCTGATTCCAGATGTGGAGCAGGTAAGATCCAAAATGAGTCTGGAAAAGCAAGATGCTTTGTTGTGCCGTAAAGTAAGAAAGCGCTTAAAGAATCATGGAGTACATCACAACAGCTTGAAGGGGCTCTACTGGCCAAATCCAAGACAATTTGTAAATTAAAATACTCATATTAATGGATGATAACCCACTGAATAAAGAATCCATGATTCTAAATTGATGTAAATAAGCAAACAGGTAAAAACAGAAAGCTCCTCCTTACAGCACCTGTCTACTAGTAAGAAATGATGTAGTCAGAAAGACATCAACACATATTAAAAGCAGGAAATGCTGACGGCAACAGGCTATTTACATGAGCTCAAAGGATCTGCTCATGAAGTTTTTATTTTATTCATTTTTTAAATTTTTGTTGTTGTTGTTGTTGTTGTTTTGAGACGGAGTTTCGTTCTTGTTACCCAGGCTGGAGTGCAATGGCGCGATCTTGGCTCACCGCAACCTCCGCCTCCTGGGTTCAGGCAATTCTCCTGCCTCAGCCTCCCGAGTAGCCGGGACTACAGGCACACGCCACCATGCCCAGCTAATTTTTTGTATTTTTAGTAGAGACAGGGTTTCACCATGTTGACCAGGATGGTCTCGATCTCTTGACCTCGTGATCCACCCGCCTCGGCCTCCCAAAGTGCTGGGATTACAGGCGTGAGCCACCGCGCCCGGCCTCATTTTTTAAATTTTTAAAAATAGGGATGAGGTCTTGCTATGTTGCCTAGGCTGGTCTTGAACCTCTGGACTCAAGTGATCCTCCTGCTTTAGCTTCCCAAAGTGTTGCAATTACAGGCATGAGCCACTGCAACCACCAGCCCATCAATTTTTAAAACACAAATGGAAAAACAGTAACTTTACAGTGGAAAAAATCTAGTGATTATTGCCTTCACCAAGTGAATAAAGTGAACATCCCTAGGAATGGGACGAGTAAGTGTCCCAGGCCTCCTGATATGATGCACTGGAAATGACATGACATCGCTTCCGTGGCATGCCTGCCTCAAATGCACAACCCTAATTCAACCAGGAGGAATCATCAGACACACCCAAACCGGGGACATCCTATAAAACAGTAAGCCTACACTCTTGGAAATTATGGGAGGACAGGAGTTGCTCCAGATTAAGAGAGGCTAAGGAAACGTGACATCCTTAAAGACACTCAGTCCTGGATTGGATCCTAGACCGGGGGGCTGGGTGAGGAATACAGAAGCGACATTACTGGAACAGCTGACAACACTTGAATATGGGCCACGGATGGGATAACAGTGCTCTATTAATGTCAGATTCATTGATTTCGATGAGTGTGCTATGTGTAAGACAATGTTCTTGTTCTCTGGAATACATATTCAAGTATTTAGGGGTGATGAGTTTTTATCTTCAACTAGCTCTCAAAAAAACAGTATTTGTATATGTGTATACATATATACACATACACACACACATTTTTAAACGCCCGCCAAAAGTCACTGTGTGCAAAAAAGTCTTATAAGGCGGGGATCAGAGCTTAATGGTATATTGGCAATGTTCAGGAGGATCCTGCTGCAACAGATTAAAAAGTTTCATTTTAAAGTTTTCATAATTCAGATGTAACTCGCTGAAAACACACGGGGCAAACCAGTTTTAACAGAAAATCACTTACTTTAGCTAGAAGTCACAGAAGTATACAAATATATTCACTTTAAAAGTGCAGCAAGCCCTTATTTCACAAGCAAGAATATTATAGTTTGAAGGGAACTTTGAGATTACTTGATCTAACTTCTACTAAAAAAAAAAAAAAGGATGTCACTCCACAATAAATCATTTTGATTGAAAATACAAAACAATACCAAATAAAAATTTACCTTTTGTGGCAAATCTCATGAATAACCTATTTCCTTTAGCAAGTTTGTTAGCTGGACGAAGATCGTTTCTTAACAAAGACTCCTCTTCTACCTGAGACAACGTGTCCAACTTAAGAAAGAAGAGTATTTTTAATATAAAAATTAAAGTCCTTTCCATATTTCTTCAGTAGACAAGTTACATTAAGAAAAGCATTCTACCTTTAATACGTACAAGCGCTATGGCACCAGTTCCTCTGCAGAATTTCTAACTCAGAGGTTTCCCGCCCACCTTGTCTGAAGGAACAGTCTTTCCTGTTTTCACAGCATCTGTCACCAGCTGACACAGTATTAGGACCTGTGCATCGGGGTATCATCTGTATTCTCCACTAGAATGCAGGCTCCAAGAGGGCCAGGATTTTGTTTTGCTTGAGGCTTTATCCCTGGCACTTAGAATATGGCATATAGTAGGTACTCAGTAAATATTTTTTAAATGAATATATGCTAATATTTCTGACAGCAGTACATATTCCATTAGGAAATATGTCGTTACTTGCTGTTTCTTAATTTTACCAATTAGATAACACTTCAAAATATTTCTCAATAAAACTATTTTCTTTTTTGTAGAAGGATGAGCACTATTCTGGGGTTTCAAGGTAAATTGTTACATCCACATGACCTTAAAGGACAAGCGCCTTGTGCACCCTCAGAAGGTCTCATGGTGAAAGCTAGAGGAAAAACACAACTAAGTCTTTAAGGCTTAAATTAAAAAGACAGTAAGCATTTTTTACAACAGAGCCTGACATCTACCTTTGCCCTATTACTAACCTCTACATCACTTGCGTTCTCGTCTTCAACCTCTCCTTCTTCAGCTTCATCATCATCTGAACTGTCTTCCTGCTTGTCTAACATGGAATGTGAAGGACAAGACAAAACAAGGTAAATGATTTCATATAATGAGATACAGGATGAACTATTTCATATAATTTTGTAAGTCCAGTATTTTCCCCTTTGCTGATGATCTAAAGCATTGTAGATTACTTCAGAACCACCTGGTGATGAGAGGCTACAGCACTCTGCTGAGACACGCACAGCGCACAACGGGACTGCGTGAAGAAGAGGACTTTCAGACCCATGTTCCCTCTTTTGTTCACTTACCTTTTTTACTTTTCTCAGATGACTTGTCCTCACTGGCATCCCTGCTTCTTATCTTATCCTGTGCAGGCAGAGAGCTCATATTGATAAGGGCTCGTGTAGCTGTCATTTCATCCAGCCAAACTACATTACCTGAAATAAAATATAAAAAAAGACGCTACATGGCACGCAAATAGTAAGTTTCCTGAGAGCAGATTCTGCACTGCATTCATCACTATGGCCTCATCTAGCAAAAGATTATCATCAGTAGATATACAAACCAACTAATGAAGAGGACTATGGGCCAGGGACAGTGACTCACGCCTGCAACCCAGTACTTTGGGAGGCCACAGCAGGAGTGAGATCGTCCTGGGCAACGCAGTGAGACCCTGTCTCTACCAAAAATACAAAAATCAGCTGGGCATGGTGGCATGAGCCCGTAGTCCCAGCTGCTCGGGAGGCTGAGGTGGGAAGATGGATTGAGCCCAGGATATTGCGGCTACCACTCAATTCCACAGGATATTGAGGCCAAGGTCATATCACTGCACTCTAGCCTGTGGAACAGAGTGAGGCTTCATCTCAAAAGAAATGAAAAGTTAAAAATAAATAAAAAAGAAAGACAGGAGAAAGAAAGAAAGAAGAGAGAGAAAAAGAAAGAAGGAAGGAAAGAAAGGCGGAAAGGAAAGGAAAAGAGGGAATGGAGAAGGGGGAGGGGGAGGGGGAGGGGAGGGGGAGGGGAGGGAAGGGGAAGGGAAGGGGAAAGAAGAAAGGGCAGACATGGTAGTAAAGCCTCTCTGACGAAATTAGCCTAGAGTTGCATTTCCAAATTGGGTTCTACAAAATAACTTAAGCATTCCATGAAAAAGCGTTGTGTTTATTAACACTATTGGAATAAAACACAGGTAGTTAAATACTTATTATGTATTAGCAGTTCTTGATGATGATCATAGCTGTCAGGTAAGTTTGGATTACCCTTATATACCACTGCCCCCTACAGGGAAGCCCTCTGTCATTCCTTGCTGTCAGGAAATGCTAAATGATGTCCCCCTTCATCACTCCCATTGTAAATCGTGCGTGATGAAGGTATGCACGGCGTAAGTTTAATGGAGGCATGACAGCCAGTTGGCTTTGTAGCAACTAAATTAATGTGCCCCTTTAAGGAAGATAATTTAGCAAGAAAAGGGTTTTGAGAAGTCTTATAGAAAATAAACCACTTTAACTCTGTTTAAAACAGCATTTCTCAAAATTATGTGTCCCCCGTATCTGAGTTTGGGAAATGAAGGTCTGAAGGCTCTCACTTCTGTTACTAACGTGCCATGTGGCCTTAAGCAAATATTTTCCTTCCTCTGTTTCTCAGGTTCTGATATACAAGGTAGGTGAATCAGGTAATTCTGAGGGTCCCAACAATTCTAACGTCCCTTAGCTACAGTTTTAAAAACTTAAATCAGGGTTAGTAAACTAGAATCCTCCGGCAAAATCTAGCCCACCACCTGTTGTTCGTTTATATTTGCACCAGCTTTATTTAGGTATAATTAATGCACAGTAAAGTACACACACCTACCGCCTGTTTTTTTGCTTTGTTTTGTTTGAGACGGACTCTCACTTTGTTGCCCAGGCTGGAGTTCAGTGGTGCTTTCTCAGCTCCCTGCTGCCTCCACCTCCTGGATTCAAGTGATTCTCCTCCTCAGCCTCCTGAGTAGCTGGGATTACAGGTGTGCATCACCACCCCCAGCTAATTTTTATATTTTTAAGTAAAGGCAGGGTTTTGCCACGTTGGCCACACTGGTCTTGAAACTCTTGACCTCAAGTGACCCGCCCACCTTGGCCTCCCAAAGTGCTGGGATTACAGGCGTGAGCCACCGCGCCCGGCCTAGCACCTGTTTTTGTAAATAAAAATCTACTGAAAAAATAAAAATAAAAAAAGGAAAAAAAAGAAAAATCTACTGGAAAACAGCCAGGCTCACAGTTGATGTATGATTTAAAGTTGCTTGCATGCTACCACAGCAGAGCTGAGTAGATGTGACAGAGACCATTAAGCCTACAAAGCCTAAAATGACTGCATTCCAGCCCTTTATAGAAAAAGGTATGTCAATTCCTGATTTGTATAGTGTAAGTTAAACAGAAAGAAAAAAGGAGAAAAATGTTTCACTCAGTCATGTTTCTTCTTTCAATGAACACACTCCATCAACATCTTCCTAAGAGGGCAGCTAAGAAAAGCAGGCTGCTATCTAGGGTGCTACCTAGTAGGTCAGCCAGCTGGCAGCAAGTACAGCCGGACGAGAAGTGAGTCAAGACAAGAAGCCAGCAAAGCAGTAAGCAGAGGTCAGGCCAGACTGACAGCAAGGAGGCGAGTTTACAATGACAGTTAGCCCACAAGTTGGAAAGCTCGTAGGTTAGGGCAAGCAGCTGACATTCTAGAACCCGCAGTTCAAGGCAAGCAGAAATGAGAGGTCTGGTACAGTGTGAAGAGCATTCTGGTCTAGCTGTAGGTCACAGACACAGGCAGAGTCAGAAGGTAGCAATGACAAAGTCCAAGGCCCTGAAAATGCAGCCCCAAGTCTATGTAGTTGGATCCTCTCCTTTATTGGGAAAAGTGAGTGTTAAAGAGGCCTCAGTCAAGTATGCCAGATTCAGATGCCAGTAACCCACCTCCTAGAGTCCTGGTCACCACCTAGGCTGACTTGGAATACTGACGGGGTGTGAGCTGGCAGACTGGTTAGGGCATGCCAGGTTTCGTCGCTGGACAATGTTTTCTCTGCTAGACTAAGAGCAGAAGCTATACATGAATGAGTGGTATGGGCCATAATTTATTCACCATCTCTGATGGCAAGAACGCTTGCAAAATCATCAACAAAAGCATATTCACAGAAAACTCGGGGGTACTTACAGGAGGTATCATCCAACCATTCGATGTGAGCTGGAGGGTATTCTTTAAAATAGGAAAAGACATCCTGGGTGCTCATCTCATCTACTCCACAAATATAGATTGTCTCCAGTCTCACTTTGGGGATTGCTGGAAAGACAAGACACAGAAAAGATGACAGAATTTTCCTACCCACAACTGCACATCCCATCAGTTCTCCTGTCTAATAGTTCAGATAACCTGAGTTTAGGAAGAAATATGCTGAGAGATACTACAATTATTTCAAAAGAGCATGAGACATAACAGTAAGGTAAACTACCTTAATTTTTATCCCTGAACAAGAGCATTAATATAATTCACAACAGACTCAGAAAGATTCAACAAAGGTGTTGATAAATACATGATACCTCTCCTCACATTAATCTGTAGCAATCAGAGCAATATCAAGCTCCACGGGAGTATCTGTTGAAGTTAACTAGCTAATTCTAAAACTCTTAAATGTACGTTAAAAAGAAATGTGCATTACTGGAGACAATTCTGAAAGAGAAAAGATGCTACCCGTGGATACGTCAAAGCACGGAACTAGAGTAAAGAAATTGTACAAGTCAGTTAAAAAAAAGACAATCCAAAATAAAAATGGGCAAAGGGCATCAGTCTGTGGTTTCCATACAAGGAAATACAAAAGGCCAATACACACGTGCAGAGATGGGCTGACTTCACTACCAATCGTTAACACGCGCATTAAAACAAGAAGATGCCAGTTTCCACTGACCAGATTTTACATCTTATTTCCCCACATCTCCGGTACTTGAATGGAGAGATTTCACATCTTATTAGTATGAAATGTTGGCAGGAAGTAGGGGGAAGAGCTACTTCCCCTGCTGGTGGGAGTATGAATTGGCATCGTCACTCAAACTGTAAGTGTCTATTAAAAATGTGATTTTGCACATGCCCTACAGATCTAGAATTTTATTCCTCAGTATTGGCCCTAAATAAACCCAAACATTTGGATTCACAAAGTAGCTCACACAAAGATACTCGCTGCAGCACTATTTCTAATAACCCAGTAGTTCCCAGGGTAATAAATCATGTTTTATCCACATTGTAAAATACTATGTGGTTAAAAAAAAAATGAAATAAATTATATACCACAGAAAGATTCTTTTTTTTTTTTTTTTTTTTTTTGGGACGGAGTTTCGCTCTCGTTACCGAGGCTGGAGTGCAATGGCGCGATCTCGGCTCACCGCAACCTCCGTCTCCTGGGTTCAGGCAATTCTCCTGTCTCAGCCTCCTGAGTCGCTGGGATTACAGGCACGTGCCACCATACCCAGCTGATTTTTTGTATTTTTAGTAGAGACGGGGTTTCACCATGTTGACCAGGATGGTCTCTATCTCTTGACCTTGTGATCCACCTGCCTCGGCCTCCCAAAGTGCTGGGATTACAGGCGTGAGCCACCGCGCCCGGCCCCACAGAAAGATTCTAAGATGCATTACTGAGTGAAAAAACAAGTTGTAAAAAATTACATACATGGTGATGACATTTTTAAAAAACGCACAAAACAAAACATTTACAAAGGGTGCATATTTATGTACGCAAACACCTAGCAAAAGCCAGGCCTCGGATGAGTCACACTGACGACAGCTGTTACTTCTGAGGAGGGAGAAAGGTTCACGACTATGGTCAAAATGGAAACTTAGCCTTATCAGGATTGCATACTTTTTTTTTTTTGAGATGGAGTCACACTCTCTCACCTAGGCTGGAGTACAGTGATGTAATCTCGGCCCACTGCAACCTCCGCCTCCTGGGTTCAAAAGAGATTCTCCTGCCTCAGCCTCCTGAGTAGCTGGGACTCCAGGTGTGCATCACCACACTCGGCTAACTTTTGTATTTTTAGTTAGAGACAGGGTTTAGTAGAGACCATGTTGGCCAGGATGGTCTCTATCTCTTGACCTTGTGATCCGTCTGCCTTGGCCTCCCAAAGTGCTGCGATTACAGGAGCCACTGCGCCTGGCCAACTGCATATTTTTTTACTACATATTTTAAGTACATTATCTCCTTTAATCTTAATTGCAAAGTATGTAACTATATCAATATGAAAAAATAAATTTAAAATACCTATATATCTACTACCTGGCTTTATGCTTAATTCCTTGTAAGAGCTCAGGCACACAGAACATTACATATGAAACTGGGGCCCGTATTACCTCTCTACATTCCTTCTCTCTCTTCCTTCTCTAAGGCAATTCTGTCAAGGAGTGGTTCATGGGTCCAAAAAAAGTAGAAAGCGTGAATAAGACCTACTGTTTAATAGCACAATAGGGTGACTACAGTTAATAATAACTTAATTATAAATTTTTAAATAACATAAAGAGTGTAATTGGATTGTTTGTAACTCAAGGGATAAACGCTTCAGGGGGCTAGGCACTCTGGAAGGCCGAGGAGGGCAGATCACTTGAAGTCAGGAGTTTGAGACCAGCCTGCCCAACACAATGAAACCCCATCTCTACTAAAAATACAAAAAATTAGCCATTCGTGGTGGCGTGTGCCTGTAGCCACAGCTACTTGGGAGGCTGAGGCAGGAGAATCACTTGAAGCCAGGAGGCGGAGGTTGCATTGGGCCAAGATTATGCAACTGCCCTCCAGCCTGGGTTACAGAGCAAGACTTCGTCACAAAAAACAAAAACAAAAACAAAAACAAAAAAAACTTGAGGGGATGGATACCCCATTCTCCACAATGTGCTTATTTCATGTCACATGCCGGTATCGAAACATCTCATGTACCCCATAGATACATATACCTACTATGTACCACAAAAATTAAAAAATAAAATAATAATTTAAAAAAAGAATTTAATGTCCATTACTCCCAGACATGTTTTTATATGCTATTAACAAAATTTTAAAAATATTTAGCCCATGGCTCAAGCCTGTAATCCCAGCACTTTGGGAGGCCGAGGCGGGTGGATCACGAGGTCAAGAGATTGAGACCATCCTGGTCAACATGGTGAAACCCCGTCTCTACTAAAAAAATACAAAAAATTAGCTGGGCATGGTGGCACGTGCCTGTAATCCCAGCTACTCAGGAGGCTGGGGCAGGAGAATTGCCTGAACCCAAGAGACGCGCCATTGCACTCCAGCCTGGGTAACAAGAGCGAAACTCCGTCTCAAAAAAAAAAAAAAAAAAAAAATATTTAGCCCATCTTTCTTCTGCAGATATATGCTACTACTTCTATTAAAACAAACAAAAAAAAATTACAAATTAAAAAATGTGTTTAATAACTTTAAACAGGTAATAATTTTAAATCTCAAAGAGTTAAGAGATGTGTTACCAGGAGCCCATGTAAGTGTGGCCAGACTAATGCAGGTGAGTACTTTCCTGACATCCCAAATTAGACATGATAAAGACACCAAGAAGATGTAGGAATCCAGCCGGGCATGGTGGCTCATGCTTGTAATCCCAGCACTTAGGGGGCTAAGGTGGGAGGACTGCTTGAGCTCAGGAGTTTTCTACAAAAAATTTTTAAAATTAGCTGGGTGTGGCGGTGTGCGGCTGTAGTGCTAGGTATCAGGAGGCTGAGGTGGGAGGATCACTTGAGCCCAGGAGGCTACGGCTGCAATGAGCCATGATCACATGACTGCACTCCAGCCTGAGCAACAGGGTAAGACCTTGTTTCAAAAGGAAAAAACCACCATGCCCAGCTGATTTTTGTAGAGATGGGGTTTCGCCATGTTGCCCAGGCTGGTCTTGAACTCCTGACCTCAAGTGATCTGTCTTGGTCTCCCAAAGCGCTGGGATTGCAGGCATGCACCACTGTACCCAGCGCCTCCATTTTTTTCCTTTTTTTGTATCCTTACCTGCTTCTTTTGAACAGGATTATCCACTGCCTAAGTTTTGAATGTATATGACATTCTCTAAATTAAAATACACATGTGAGGCTGGGTGCAGTGGCTCATGCTCGTAATCCCAGCACCTTAGGAGGCCGAGGTAGGAGGACTTGAGCCCAAGAGTTTGAGACCAGCCTGGGCAACACAGCAAGACCATCTTTATTTTTTAAAAAGAGACAACCGAGGCCAGAAATTTTGTTCCTTACATTCTTTCTCTTTTGCTTTTCAGGATTTCTTCACCTGTAGGTCTGGCTTTAACACTGTAATGTTAAAACAACGTTAGAATGCCCTTGACAATTATTTCTGTCACTTTTTGGTCTTTGTTTCTAGGCTAGTCTCATTTAAGATTAATTTTTTTTAGTCAGATCAACAAGTCTCCTATCTACGTTTTTTCTCCCTCCTCCTCAGTTTGCTTCCTCTACCATCACTCAGGGCCTCCCTGCTTTCTGTTACCTTCTGTGAAACAATCTCTTTGCTTCCCACAGGCTCTTTTTGTTCCAAAATCATGACTTTTAACTCCAAGAACCGAGAAGACCCTTGGACTGAATAAATATTTGTTTTCCATCCTCCATTTAGGCCTCTGTTCACCATTGCACTGCCGGTTATTAATAAGGATTTCCTGGGGTTCCCCAGAAAAGAGAAGGTAGCAAATTTTAGGTGACCACAACTCGCCAAAGCACACATGTGGGAGACAGATGAACTGTGACGAGAATGGCACAAATCTGAACCACTCATGCCAGGCGATACAGTAACATGGAAATGCTGACCACAGACTGACAAGGAAAAAGGAAAAAAGCAGTGTGACTACGAAGGGAAAAACAGAAGTTCATGCCCAGAAGAGATGAGAAAGAAATACACAGAATGTTGACAAGGACTGCGTCTGGGTGGTAGACTGTGGGCTTCCTGTTCTCTCTTCCAAATGTGCTTTGGTGAGCATGAACTGTTTGTAAAAGAGCTGATGAAGAAAAGATTATAGTCCAGCGTGAACAAGCTCATCAAACATGCTGACAGCGGCCGGGCGTGGTGGCTCATGCCTGTAATTCCAGCACCTTGGGAGGCCAAGGCGGGCAGATCACCTGAGGTCGGGAGTTCGAGACCAGCCTGACTAACATGGAAAAACCCCATCTCTACTAAAAATACAAAACTAGCCGGACATGGTGGCGAATGCCTGTAATCACAGCTACTTGGGAGGCTGAGGCAGGAGAACCGCTTGAACCCAGGAGGGAGAGGTTGCGGTGAGCTGAGATCACACCACCGCACTCCA